GCACTTAGCTGTTAATATAACTTTTTTGTGTGTTTTGCTGTTATTAAGGCACATCTGTAGAAAATTTAGAAGTGCTAGTTAAGCAGTATATTTACAGCTGTCGGAATCCATGAAGTGATGCAAAGTCTCAAAGCATTGGTAACACTTGCTGCCTACCAAGTTTGCAAGAGTCTGACCAATGGAGGTATTTCAAATAATGTTGCTTCGTTTTGACTCAAAGTCTGGTCATAAGATTTATGAATTAGTATTCAGCTGTAAAAATGTTTATGTGACCGAATCACCTAACCTGCCATCGGTCATTAAATACACATGAATTCTTGTGAGCAGCCAACAGCTACTTTTTCGTGGCAACTGCAAACCTCTGGCTCACTTGGTTCTGCTGAATGCTGCTCACCTTCAGCTATTTTCATTGCTCATTAGCAGCCAATCAGAGGGTACTAACAGAACATTTAAAATGGGCAAACCCATTAGGCATGGCAAGAGGGGAGAGCCCAGGTCCCTGCCCTCCCTCCTGCCCACAGGAGATTGTAAACAGCAGAAGAGAATGACACTCAAACCACTGAGTCCCCACCTTCTAAGTTTTTGTCACTGTTGGGTGGCAAGAGATGAGAGTGAGATAGGTTAGGGAGGAAGGAGGCGTAACAACAAAAAAAGGGACTTGGAAATGGACAGTCAGTGAGATCTGGGAATTATATGCAGTGATCAGGTGTGCTATTGGAGGAATAGTTTCTTCACAAACAGAAACCCATTTAGCACGTTTGCTTCTAAATGATCATAGATCTTAAATGGTTTTAAGAGAGATCCATTACAAGAAAAGCCCTAGAGGAAAAAACAAATAGAGACATTCAAATAAAAGTGCTCAAATGCCACGTTAAGAGAAAACGTACTTTAAACTGTGCCAAGCACCACAGTGTAAGTTCTTTATTAAATCCACCCACATAACAAGCCTTCATTACAGACGATCCCTGCCAAGTCCTACATGCTGGCCTTGAACTCATAGTTCCCTCAGCATTCAAGAACCTTGGTCTCCAGGAAGCTCATACAGAGTGTCAGTTATAATAAATGTTATTTAACCTGGAGGGAGGGTTTTGAGTGAGGACATCTGCAAGTACCAAGACAATACAATCCAGGACAAGCCACCTCTTCTCACTAGGCTTCTCCCTTGGTTCAAGACCATCCTCTGCTCAGCCAGTCTCCTAAGCAGTCACAGCTGGTCCAGAGAAGGCCATGTGGAGGCAGTCCTTTATAGCTACGGGAGAGAGTGGCCGAGGCAGGAACTGCCCCTTCCACACCCGACAGGATCACTAGGAAGCCACCCTTCATCAGAAACACCTCAAATCCACAGTGTTGTGCGTGAGGGAGGGTTGGCCTAGGACGTGGTCGGCAAACTGTGGCTCAAGAGCCACATGCGGCTCTTTGGCCCCTTGAGTGTAGCTCTTTCACAAAATACCACCGCCCAGGCGAGTCCATTTTAAAGAAGTGGCATTAGAAGAAGTTTAAGTTTAAAAAATGTGGCTCTCCAAAGAAATTTCAATCGTTATCCTGTTGATATTTGGCTCTGCTGATTAATGAGTTTGCCGACCACTGACCTAGGACAAAGCCAACGCAGATCCCGCTCCCTCCAAGTCTCGGTCATCTTGCGAGCCTCTGAGCTAAGGCTCTAGGAAGAACAAATGATCGGATCACGGCATGAACTCCGAAGGCATGCTTCCTGGCCCCCCCCCCCCTTTTTTTTTTTTAAATCTCTTTATTGATTAAGGTATCACATATTTTCCTCATCCTCCCATTCCTATCCCCCACCTCTCCCCACTCATGCCCTCACCCCCCTGTTGTCTTTGACCACTGGTTAGGCTCATATTATGCACACAAGTCCTTTGGTTGATCTCTTCCTTTTATCCCCACCCTCTCTCTGAGGTCCAACAGTCTGACCCATGCCTCCTTGTCTCTGGGTCTGTTCTTGTTCATCAATCTATGTTGTTCTGGGTTTCCCTTTTCATCCCGCACAGATATACTAGGAGAAGGCTTGCTTCCCAGTGTAAGAGGGCTCCCCTTCCAATGATCTGGATCCCTCCATCCCGAGAGCAGCCTTTCCTCAGAGCTCCGGCAACGGAGGAAATTTCCAAAACCGAGAATGACTATTGAAGGATCCTGGTTAGACGGGATTTGATAAAGCGGAGCACAGCAGACTGAACTGTGCAGAAATGAAAAGTGACTTACCATCACCTCAATAAATGATCTGACGATTGGCATTTTGTATTAAAAAAAAAAAAGTAGCCATTTTAACTATCTTTTTTGGGTAGAGTTGCTGCAAGTGGAAAAACACAGCAAATCCTAGCTTAATGTCGTGGGTAGGTTTTGTAACTTGAAGACGTATAACGAATGGATACAAATAAGAGTTAAATTCCTAAGGCATCTCATCAATGTTATAATGATACAACACAAAGAAATGATGTTATTTCAGGACCTAATGTAACTGGCTACTCTTAATAAAAGAAAAACTAGATAAAACGAGTCTAAAATTCCCCCCCCTAATTACTTTTCTGCTGCAGTGAATTGACTAATCTGATTATTTTTCTGAAAGACCTTAGGTAAGACGGTACTGTATTGTCAACTCTCTACCAGCAAATTCAAAGGAAGCTGGTGAGGATGACGATTTTTATTTATTAATTACTTACCATGTGCCAGGCACTATTATAACAGCTTTTCGTATATCATCTAATTAACTCAACGAAGCAGGTACTACTTATTGGTCTCATTTTACAGTTGATGAACCACAGGCACACATTTACAGTCTAGTGTAGTGGTCGGCATGCTATGGCCTTTGGGTGCAATTTGGCCATAAGTTTTACTGCAATTTCCATACCCATTCCTGGCTGTTTTTAATTTTTTTTAATTTTTTAAATTTTTTTATTGATTTCAGAGAGAAAGGGAGAGGAAGAAAGAGATAGAAACATCAATGATGAAAGAGAATCATTGATCGGCTGCCTCCTACACGTCCCCTAATGGGAATCAAGCCCCAAACCCAGGCATGTCCCCTTGACTGGAATCAAACCTGGGCCCCTTCAGTCCACAGGCTGATGCTCTATCCAGTGGGCCAAACCAGCCAGGGCTGCTGGCTGCGTTTGAGTTACAATGGTGGATCTGAGCAGCTGTGACAGACCTCAGGCATAGAAAGCCTAAAATACTACCTGTATCTGTGGGCTTTATAGGAAAGGCCCATCGAGGCCTCAGGCAAAACATGGTTAATTCGTGGATAAAGAAAGAAGGGCAAGGACATTTGGACAGCTTGAAAAAGAAGTTCCCCTGAAACTTTCTTAGCAAATATTGTTTTTTTTGTTGTTGTTGTTGTTGTTTTGTTTGTTTTGTTTTGTTTTTCCCCCCTTCTCATCACCAAAAAGGATTTATTCCGGGGGGGGGGGGGGGGGGGGGAAGGATTGCAAATCTGGAACCTGCAGATATGGCCACCTACATGCAAGTTCCCTTGACGTGCTACCTTCCGTTCGTATTTTTCCTTCTTACTTCTCACCCAGGTGTGCCAACCAGCCCAGAAAGAGCAAGAGTGTTCATGGACTATCCGTTCAACAACTAAAGGCTTCTCTCTCTGTCTAGCGAGTCTTGATTGGTGGAAAAGTTTCCAAAAAGGAAAAGAAAAAGAAGGAAAAGACTAAAGAAAGCCTTGACAACCATATATTTCCTAATAGGTTGTAACATTTTTGGCAGTTTCACAGGTATTCCTTCTCAAGTACAAATGACATCATTGTTGAAATAAAAATACACACACACACAATTGGCTGGGCTTATTTGACATTTGGTATCACATATTGTTTTGGTTGAGCATCAATTGATTTTTCTATTTTTACTGGGAAGTTACGTCATAGCTATTTTTAGTCGACAGTGTCTGGCTCTGTTATTTGTGGAACTGGGCACACAATCGTGGCTTAGAATTTTTTTTTTTTTTTTTTTTTTTTTTTTTTTTTTTTTTGCTAATGCTATAAGAATGTATGTATTTGGTGGGGAATGTTCTCATCAGTAAATGTCCTATTATTTTTCTGAAACATTTCAGAACAAAAGTCTAAAACAGGAAGTAGGCACTAACAAATGACAGAATTTGGTGTATTACCAGGCAGCAAAGTGAATGTAGCCTTACAGGATGTCTTTAAAATATTAACATTTTTATACTGTAAGGCGACATAAATGAGCTAACATCTGAGCTATTCTGCTAAATCTTAGTTAATCCCTCAAAACCTACCCATAAATCAAAGCCAAATTAAAAACTAAATTTCCAGACTATAAAAGCTGGCACATAAGTGGAGCTGGATTTGCAGTCAAATAATTTATGCAAACTTGTTCGCTGCAAAGTGAACAGAAATTCCCAAGACAAGACAAAGCCCCCAGTTTTCCTCTACGTGTCACCACTTTCCAGCCGGCAGGGAGAACAGCCTAGAACAGCCGTTCCCAAGCCTGTCTGCTTATCAGAATCACCTGGGAGCTTTCACAATCCCACCTCCAGGCCACACCCCAGGCTCATGAAATGAGGTCTCCGGAGGCAGGACCTCGGTATCAATGTTTTTGGAATCACAAACACCAGTAGAGAGTGGTGATTAGGGCGGAGGTAGCCTGATGGGCGCAGTCCAGATACACAGGACGCCTGCCGTTCAGGAGGCCTGCAGTCCTACTCCATCCTGTCTGCTCCACTATCTGCCAGGCACTCAGTTCCCTGGTGCGGGAGTTGTTAGCACAACACACAGGTAAATGCACTGGTGTCATCATTCCTGCTCCTAACACATCATCAACTCGTTAACGCACACATTAAGAGGATTCTAACGCAGTGAGTACTGCCTTAGGGTTTCTCAAGGTATGACCTGTTGAAACATTCGTACCATTTCTGCATCTTAGGAGACAACACATCCCCCACAGCTGGTTTCGCTTTTTATTTTGCAAGCTTATTTATCCTGCAAAACAAACTAAAAAAAAAAAATAATAATAATAGTTTGCCTTACCTCTACAATGCTTTTTAAATCTTGCACATACGTCCTTTCCGTCTCCAGGATCTCCTGAACAACTCTGTCCACGTAGAGGAGCTTGGGGCTGGTGGCCGATTCGGCACTTGTTTTGGCGGCCCCGCTGGCCTCCCCCCTCCGCTGGGCCCAGGGCTGCCTCTCGCTGCCCACCTCCGGGCTCTGCTGCCCGGCCAGGCTGTCCCTCTGCAGCTCGCTGCTGGAAACCAGCCTGGCTGGCACCAGCTCCAGCTTGATGGCCCCAGCTTCCTTGTCCTGGGGAAACAAGCCCAAGTGGCTGTTGGAAACCAGGGTCATTCGGCTGCCGAAGGAACCATGGCTGTCCCGGGAAGAAGCCGAAGACGACGTGGAGCCGAAGCTGACCGGGCGGTCACTGTCCGAGAGCTCCATCGCCTTCCGTTCTTGGCAGCGGGAAGGCTTGGCTGTGGTCTTGGGATCTGGATCTTCGGTTACAGTTAATGGCACATCAAGATGCAACTGGTGGACATCTAAATGCATTAAAAAGAAAAAGAAAAAGAAAAAGGATGAGATAAGCAAGGTATTTTAAAATGACATCAAACGGGAAATTTAAAGATTAAAAACCCACCCCAAATATATGGGGTCGAAAACAAAGAGGCAGAGAGTGCGTTCCAGAAGGACATGAAGAGGGACCGTGGCAGGTGTGAGAGTTTCTAAAGCATCACCTGGGACCATGCTAGAAACACGGCCGCAGGCACCACCCGGACCCATGGAACTCCAGTCTGCGTTTGGACAAGATGCCGGCGCTGTGTGCACACGCATTAGGGTTTGCGAGGCACTGCAACCATCGCCTCCAAATGGGACCACCTGGGATGACTAACGGAGGCAGGCTGGCCCCGGTTTTCTAAATTCAAAGTTCAGCGGTCAGGGCATCAGGAGTCTGTAGGTTTAACAAGCACCACAACTGATTCTTATCGGCCTAAAACACACCCGAGGTGATTCTTATGGAAGCTTGCAAAACACTGTTCTTTATTTTGGGCATTCCACCATAATTCCACAAAGGTTTAAGCCTCCATCCCGGAGCCACTGCTACTGACTCAATGGATGCTGACAATTTGCATTTTACTAGTAAACAGCACTGGAGAGAGTGTTGCATGGCTAATATTTTTCTAATCCTGAGCAAGAAAAACCCAACTATTAAGTCCCACATCCCCTTTCAAACTCAGCCTCTCACCACGTGTCTCCAAATCTCTACTTGGAAGCCGACATTCCACTGTGTTGTATATGGAGCTACGCTATTACAGAGCATGTCTGATTAACCACAACACCCCCCATGTAACGGTAGATAATATGACAGTAGAATCATATAATTAAATTATAAATAAACATAGGAATTCAATTATGAGAAAATAATGTATTTTCAAAGATATGGGGCTGCTTGTGTTTAAAAGAGGGTATGAGCAGAGAATATCTGTGAAGTCTAAAGGTTACTTAGTGCCCATAGCACTGAGATCTTAGGCCCATAAAGGTCCCACGTGAGATTTAACCACTCCAAAGCTATTTTGCTGAAACATAAAGTTCCAAACATCTTCATTTGTAAGACATTTCCCCCTTGATGAGCTCCCTGATTTACAGAAACAAAAAGCCTTGTATAAACAGTGTGATTAATATCATTTTGGTAGAATGTCTTACCACCAAAATCCATGTGTATGGGTTTCGTTTTAGAGAATTAGAAGAGTGAAACTTATGTTTGGAAGGTTAAGACAAGACAAACACAATAACAAGAATATAGATTAATGATCACCTTTTAAGAGGAACATGAATTTTATTTCACTCTATAATAAACGTCTCCAAACAGCTGGTATCCATATTTCTAGAATATAAAGAATCCATCAAGTCTGCATCTTTCAGCATCCTGACTTTTTCTAGAGAGATTCTACCCATGGCAAATACTAATGCCAAGTTATAAGACAAATATTAAAATTACTGAGTGTAAAATAAAGGCACTAACTTGGGTCAACAAGGAAGAATAATAAGAAAGTGTGGGAAATGAGTAATTGATCAGCACAATCACTACCACATGGTTTTGCCACACATTTTTAAAGCTTTTGCGATATTCTTTCTGCTTGCCCCGTAACAACTTTATGGCCTATAAAACACAGATGGGTTATAGTAGTTAAAATGCACTTGCCCTAAAGAGCATGATCCAACTTGAGGATGGCAAAAATCCAAGAAGCAGCCAGGCACTGAGGTGTGCTTGCTGCAAAGGATGCTTGCCCACATTTGGGAATGGTGTTAAGAAAGTCCTGGGCAGTTCCTTCAAGGCCCCAAGGGTTGAATGAGGCCATGAGTTAGGACCAACAAGGTTTTCTCCCTTTTGGCACCCACCGCAACCACAACCATGAGGTTGATCACACTTCCACAACTGGGCATTCACTCAGAGTGTTTATGAAGATCCTTCAAGGCCCCAAGGGTCGAATGAGGCCATGAGTTAGGACCAAATGTAAGTTGGAATGCTGTCTATGAAGCAAGGGCACCGGAAGGCTCTCAATCAACCTCCCCCAGAGATCTGTATACACTGGTTTCCGGGGCAAGTTATGGTTTTCTGGCTAGACAAGAATCAACCTTCTCTCCAATATAGAAGACTATATTTAATAGTCATATAACTCTTGGCAAATGCTCATTATCACAACATGAACAACATGGGGATGTGCCCGCAACCAATATTAATCTGTTAAAGCTACATCATGAACACAACAGAGACTCATTTCCTAGCACTTACTTTCCCTCTAGGTGAGCCAGCCAATGCTGGGACCTAGGAAGGAAAGAGGAACAGAAAACGGGTAGTGATTTTAGAGGGGTCCATGTTGGGCAGCTGGGAGAGATAGTCCCTTCTATACTTTTAAAGGCAGGCGAAGTGCGATGTGAATCTCAGGTAAAGGGGGATCGCTCCGTGGCTGAGTCAAACTGCAGTATGACTGGGCCCTGCTCTAAGGAAGGAATCCCATGTTGCACTACCAGGCGATGTAGCTGATCCTTGAATTGCATACGTTTGAATTGTGTGGGTCCACTTATACGCAGATCTTTTTAAATAAATCCCTGCTCTGTTTTTGACTGGGAGCCTACAGTTGCAGACTTGAGCATCTGTGGATTTTGGTAGCTGTGGGTCCCTGGAACTAATCCCCTGAAGATTTTGAGGGACAAGTTAAGTTTTTGGGGAATCAAAAGTTATGTGCAGATTTTCGACTGGGCTGGGGTCAGCACCCATAACCTCCGCCCTGTTCAAAGGTCAGCAGTATTCTCGGCCCCTGGACTGACCAGCCCATCCCTCCAACTGCCAACCAGGCTCTTCAGAAAACAGAATATGAGCTAGTTGGTGGCTGTCGTAGTTGGCCAAGCTTACTGCTCCCAATCAAACACCTTCCAAAATTACCAATGACAGGAGTGAAGCATTTAAAGCTAGGCTGTATAATGGCATATAATACGAGGCTGCCTTTGCTAATGGATAACATTTTTCATGTTAATTCATTGCCTCGAAGGTAATTACAGTTTTCTCACGTCAGGAAGTATACCTCATAAAAACTGTCTAGTCTTGTCCTCACCTCCTTCAAAATAATTTAAGATTTCCACCCTGTCTGGCCTAGTCTTCATAAATACAACTCACTGACTTTTAATATTTATTTCTAGAGCTGTGGGGATCCACACAGCAGCCAGTAGTCACATGCAGCTATTAAGCACTTGACATACAACTAGTCTGAATTGGAATGTGCTATGAGTGTAAAATGCACACCAGATTTCAAAGAATTAGTATGCCATGCAATAAAGAGTATAAGATGCCTCGTTAATAATTTTTATATTAATTACATGTTGAAATAATATTTTGGAATAGTGGGTTAAATGGGATACTTCCTGGATGCATTCCCTTCCCTGTCTCCTCCCCCCCCGCCCTGGCACATATCCCCTAACCTCTAGGGGAGCTCATGAGACTTGCAACCAGGGGAGCAATGGGCAGTGGGAGCTCATCCCAGGCTAACCCCTGGGACCTGTCCTCAACGTGCCCTATAATCTGATTTCCCAGTGAGCTAAAGCAACCTAGCCTAAGCTCTCCTATTACTTCTATGCCCTTCCTTGTTTCACTCTCTTAAGTATATTTTTGCTGCAGTCAATACATTCTTACTTGCTTTTCTTTAAAAAAAAAAGAAATCTCCTAAATATCCTTTTTACTGTTTCATTTTACTCTCTTTAATGTGGCTACTAAAATAATTTCAAATTATATATGTGGCTTGCACTATATTTTAGTTGGACAATGCTGATCTAGAATATTCTAGATGATTCTATGATTCGGTAAGATCTAATTTACTTCCTTATCAATCTTTGTTTAAATAATAATGAACAAAGAGGTGCATATATTTCAACATTTGCCTTTAAAAAAATATATTTTATTGATTTTTTTACAGAGAGGAAGAGAGAGGGATAGAGAGTTAGAAACATCAATGAGAGAGAATCATCCATCAGTTGCCTCTTGCACACTCCCCCCCCGACCCCCGCTCCCTGCTCCCTCACTGGGGATGTGCCTGCAACCAAGGTACATGTCCCAGGAATCAAACCCAGGACCTTTCAGTCCGCAGGCTGATGCTCTATCCACTGAGCCAAACCGGTTTCAACTGCCTTTTTTTTTTTTTTTTTTTTTAAGATCTATTCATTAGTACACAAGATTGTTACAAATTGGCAAAAACGGAGTTGGGAGACAATCCATCCCTGCATTCTAGATGTTGGGGTAACTGATTCCCCATGGTCAGTGAAACACCAGCCAGAACACTGTAGAACAGGAAAGCTGCCCCCTCTTCCCTGAGTGAAAGATGTTGGCAGGTTGTCCTGCCATGTGAGTAATGGCTGCTTTGCTTTCCTTTCCGTTCATGGCCTCTCTCTCTTTTCCCCCCAACCTTCTCCCAGTGTTTAGGGCTTAATTATAAAGCATCTCCTACAAATATGCCAAGCATTGAGAATGGCCCAGGTCAGGGCGTGTTTTGACCATGAATACCCTAAAACAAGCTGCTTCCACCCACCTTGAGGTCTTGGTCCATCTGACCCTTTGTAAACCCACAAATGGTAGTGGTGGAAGCCCAGCTCCAGGGACCCTGGAGTCCTAATGAGTCTTACAACCGGAAATACCATCAGCCTAAAAGCCATCAGAATAAACATTCCTTCTTGTGCCACCTTCAATTTAAGAAAAACAGCGACACAGCTACCATGTAGATACCCTTTCACTCATTTTACTTCATGACAGGTCTCTCTCTCCCTCTCTCTCTCTCTCTCTCTCTCTCTCTCTCTCTCTCTCTCTCTCTCTCTCAAGTGAAAGAGCTTTAACTCCATGGCTTGTTTGCTTTGCAAACTTCCATTATTTTAATTGCTCTCCTTTGGAACATCACTGTCAGAATCAAACACAGCTCTTGTGGCTCTAACTTGTCTCTCAGGCTGAATTGGGGTTGAGGCAGAACTTTCCATGGCAAGTAAAACCCAAGCTTCCGGC